GCTGAGGCTTTCCACAAGAGTAAATGTGGTAGGCAGACAGGGACAGTGCCTCCGCAGTGCCCTTGGGTTGCTGCCCAGGGGTTTGATGGCTAACCCCAAACCACGCTGAGCCCTTCCCCAACCCAAGTACATCCTCCACAGCCCGCCAATCCCCAACCCGAGGCTAGAGTGAGGTGGGTGTGCACTGTGAAGGCTTGCTGATATGGTGGGGTTTTAAGGTTAACCCCTAACCTGCAGAAAAGAAGTCAAGCAATCCTCGGGCTGCGACCCAGGGTTTTGCAGGATAACCCCGAACCTGCATACAGAGAGAGAGAGAGAGAGAGCCACCAGCGTGTCAGGGCCGCGCGGAGAGGGGAGGGTGTAACGCGCACCAGTGAACAAGAGGGAGGCGAGTATATAGAAATGTGGCGTCTAATGACTGTCACAGGGGGCTCCTATTCAGCCACCAGAGTGGCTAGTATATAGTGAGCGCGCTGCTAGCAAAGTGGGTGCTGCAAAGGGTGTATGCAAGGAGTACGCCACAGATGTAACGTGGGCAGATTACTCACGTGCCCAGGGTTTTGGAACGAACGAACACAAACTAGCAGTGTGTACATCTCTTCCGGGCCCGGTATGTCAGTAAGGCTGGAAACGTCACATTGAAACAGTCCCTCTTGTTTTGGCCAGCAGTAGGCCCGCTCTTCGGTTCTTAGGTGGAGGGCCCACCGTCACCGTATTTAATGTCTGGAGTAGGGGGGTAAACAACGAAAGGAAAGGAATACTTATCATAACGTAAGAACGATTTGCAGGTGCTGCCGTGCTGCGCAAATTAAAAAATGGTGTCCCTCCCTGTTGGGGACCCAAGTGCCCGTTGGGCGTACTGTGTGGGGGATTACCTGTTTCAGGTGACCTCCAACTTCTTGGCATCAGCTGTAGAGGAGGGGGGGATGCCACCAGGTAGTCCGCCGAAGTGGCCAAAAGGAGGTATTGCGCAGCAGCGATGGGGAGGGCAATAGGGGAGACTTCGCTGTGCATGAAGTCTGTGCTCGGCTGGCTACCCCCCTCCCGTCCTCCGCTAAGTATAGTACTGGGCGTGCTGCAGTAGATGGTTTGCTGCTTTTGCTGCTTGAGCAATTGACAGTAGACAGAGGCTACTATCGGTATCCTTTGCTTGCTCAGGCTAGCCTGTAGGACGAGGCTGGCCACAGGAGTAAACGTGGTAGGCAGATAGAGACATTGCCTTTTCAGTGCAGTTATTGTGTTGCTGCCCAGGGTTTTGATGGCTAACCCCGAACCACGCTGACCCCTCCCAAGCCTAAGTCCCCCCCTCCTCAGCCCTTAATCCCCAACTCGAGGTCAGAGTGAGGCTGGGTGCGCACTGTGGGGTAAGGGCTAGGTAAAGACAGCTGTATGGGGTCAGCCCCTGTGCGGGCCCAAGTGTGCACTGCGTGCGCTGCAGTAGGTTTTTAAGGTTTACCCCTAACCTACAAAAAAGAAGCGTGCACTCTTTGGGCTGCGACCCAGGGCTTTGTAGGATAACCCCGAACCTGCGTAAAGAGAGCGAGGTGCCACCAACGTATCAGGGCCGCGCGAAAAGGAGGGTGTATAGCAGGCCAGAGGTGTGCGAGAGAAAGCCACCAGCTTGTCAGGGCCGCGCGAAAGGAGGGTGTCTCGTTCATCAGTGGAGGGGGCCCTGTACGAGACACTACTGCGAGCATGTGTGCACCTATGTCTTTGTGAGGTTATGATGTAGCCCGTCTGCGGTAACTGTATAGGAAGAGGTATTGGCCGTGAATGTCGCGGTATCCTCTGAGGTGGTTGATGGCAAGTGCTGGATGTGGGTGCTGTGGTAGTCGCCATCTTTTGTTATGTATTGGTCCCTGCCTGTGAGCGTCGGCTTGGGCGTGGGTGCGGCCTTATGAAGTGTTACCACTTGTTTCGGCGGAGGCCCCCCGAATGGTGCTCCAGGCGTGTAGTCGCGTAGGCTGTTGATGTAGGTCTGGTGGCGGGCCTGGTGTGTGCGAAGCCTGGTGATGTAATTCTGGAAAGTGGGATCGCCGATGTTGTTGATGAAGGTGATGCGTCGGCTGAAGATGTGGACCTGCTGCTCTCCCCGTCTTGCTGCTTCGTTGTGTGTGGCGAGTGCTTGTGCCGCAATAGTCGGGAAGTATGTGTGTGGCGTTGCGAGTGTCTGCGGGGCCAGATGCCGCATTGGTACCTCTTGAACCCATTGTTGTGCTCTGATGTCTCTGTCTGGTAGGTAGTTGATCTGTATTTGTAGTGCGGGTCGTGGTGGGTTTGTTGGCATGGCTCTTTGGAAAGTATGACCATTTGATCATCGTGGTGGCTTTGGGTGTGGACGTGGTTGGTGTGGCGCTGTTGTTGGGCGTGGTCTGTTGTTGTTGTGTTGGCTGATTGGCCTGGCTAAGCAGGTGCGCTGGTGGTGGCTTGTATGGTCGCTGGTTAGGGATTGTCGTGGTGATAGCTGGGATCGCATTGCTCAGTTGGAGTTTGAGCATAGGTTTGTTTGGAATGGTGTGTTGTTGCTGCTGGTTGATGGTGTGCTTGGCGATTTGGTTGTTAACTTGTGGTGGATTGGTTCGCTTGGTGCATTGTCGGCTTGTGCTGGTGGTAGTGTTGTTGTCGGTTTGGCCAAAGTTGTGTCGGTGTGTTGGTCCGTGTCCTCCTGGCTGTCGTGTGTGTTCCACGAGGGTGGTAGTGTGGGTGCTAGAGGCTTGGGCGTAATGGTCTGTAGTGTTGGTGGCGGTAGTCTGGTCGGTGGTGGCTGTTTGTTGTGGGGAATCGGTATTGGCGTCTGTTTCGTTGGAACTGTTGCTGTCGTCGTGCGCGGTCGCGGTGCTGCGTCAGAACGTTGTTTGGGTTGCAGATTCGGTGTGGTAGTGTGGCTGTATCGCTGATGCAGACCGCTTGGTCGTATTTCTTGATGCCGTCCTCGTCGTGACATGCGTTGGGCCATTGGGCAACTTCTTGTATGGCCGCAGTCTTGTTGGCGTTGAGTGGTGCATGTCCTCGTGTGAGCGGTTCCTGAAGAGGTTGGTGGGTCGCGACTACTTGCAGTCGTAGAGCCAGGTTGTCGCGGCAGTGTGTTGCTAGTGCTTGTAGGTCGCTGTCGTCGCGTGTGAATGTGGGGCACTTGGGTGGTTTGGCCGTATTGTTTGCTGTTTATTTCGTTACCTTTTTGCGAGTTGCTGGTGTACCTCCTGCCGCCTCCCCCTCCTCCTGCCTCTTCCCCCTCGTCCTCTTCCTCCTCCTCCTCGTCCTTTTCCTCCTCTAGCACCTCCTCGTTCTCCTTTTCCATCCCGCTTGTTCTCCTCATGCGCATCTCCTTCCTTCTGGCCAGGACACGTCTGTCGATGTTCCTCGGCGCTCTCGCCGCCACGGCCTGCATGCGCGTGTTCTCCGATGGCTGGATCGTCAAGCCTTTGGGGCAACCCCGCGGGCCAGGCTTTTAGGACAACCCCGTGGACCGTTGGGGCTCGGGAGCTCACCATCGGGACAACCCCGCGGGCATCGAGCTGGGCGGAAGGGGAGGCAGCGCGAAACTTAGCCATGCCGCGAGCTCCGCCCCAGCCCTGAGATCGCACCCCTTTTGTCGAACGGACCCCATAGGGAGGGGCTCCCGCCCCAGACGTCTTCGCAATTGACTTGCAGACGAGGCTCCCGCTCGAGATTTCCTCCCGAGTCAGGCCTGGCGTGCCCAGAAATGACGTTAGTTTCATGAGTCGAATGACCCGCCCGGATTCGAACATGGTGGTGGGGGCCCCATGAGGAAGGGGTGGGAGGGGCGCCCGTTCGAGCCTTCCTTGCGGTTCAGTCACAAACGATGGTGCCGCTTGAGACGTCCTCCATGCTCACGCCTGGGGAGCCCAATCGTGACAACAGTTGCAGATTTGAGGATGATTCCCAAGGGTTGAACACGTCGAGTGCGGGGCCCCATAAAACACAGCTCCTGATTGAGACTTCCCCGCGGTCCAGTTACAAACGGGCCTCCCGCCCGACATTTCGTTTTTTATGTTCAAGCCGGATACACGCTTGAAATACAGAGACGACGAGGTACGCTTTATATTGAAGCCGAAAGGACGACAAGTACAAGCTTGAGGGTGACCCGTTGAGACTCATCATGTGAGGCGCGGGCCCCATGCGGAGGGGGCTCCTGTTTGAAATTTCCTCCATGTTGAGCCTTGGGGAGCCCAGGAGTGATGACACTTACAGGTTTGACCAGGACCCATCAGGGTTCAAAACATGATTTGCGGGCCCCATGGGGAGGGGTTCCCAGTTGAGGTTTCCCCGCAATTCACCCACTGACGGGTGATGAACATGGTGATGATGATGTTGATGATGAGCACGATGGTGGTAATGATGATGCTGATTTTGATGATGATTATGTTGATGATGATGCTGCGAATGCCGATGATTATGGTGATGGTGGAGCTGATGGTATTGGTGAGGATGACGATGGTGATGAATGTGGGTGATGTGTGAGTATGTGAATGAGTGCATGATGATGGCAAGGGTGGTAATGATGATCATGCTGATGACGGTGGTAATGATGAGGTTTCCGGTAATGGAATTGTGATAGTGATGTTTGTGATGGTGAGGTGTGTGCATGTGGGTGGGTGTGGTCCTGCAAGGGGTGTCCTGCCAAAACTAGAACCGTACTGAGGATGTTGGGGAAAAACAACAAGAACCCCATTGAGGATGTGGGGGGTGATTTGGTTGATCAAAGACAGGGGTCCTTAATTACCCCCCCCCCCCCCCTTCCTTCTGGAGCCTCAGAAATCGCCTCTGGGGGCCCTCCTGGAGCGCTCTTGGGGGCGATTTGGGACCGTATTGAGGCCATCTCGGGCCCCACGTCGGGCCATCTTGTGCCTTCTTGGAACCAGATTGATGCCTCGGACAACCCTCGGAAACGAAAGGACGAAAGGGCTAAAATCACTGATGTTCCTACGGTGTTTGAAGGTTTCTGGCATCTCGGGAGCGTCTTTGGGACGCCCTTAGCC